AGAGAATCTCTTATCAGATGCACAAACACTTGGCTGGACAAAGCAACAGATGGTACATAGGCCTATTCATACTTCTAAATGCGACAAAAAGTATGTTCCTCATAATAAAATAGCAATAAAATGTCATCAATAGAAGAGAAAATACATGTGCCAATGAGCTGAATCAAATTATGTTTAAATTCCTCCTGGGACTTTTTATGATCCGTGAAAAAAAGCTATCTTTATTGCTTTTACAGTTTGTTTTTTAAATCAGAAAAATTATACTCAAATTGGTTACCCCTCTAATTCACTGGACTTTTATTTTCAGTAATTAAGTTTGTCCAAAATTATCCTCAAGGCTATCACTGAAGATGTTTAAAAATATGCTCCCTATTCTAAAGGTAATTCAACACGTAAAAACAAGGGAAAGAAAGAATATGAAATTAGGGGTACTTATTATTTTGTATGACAGCAACAAAAAATCCAAGGCTTCCATGGCTTACAGGAAGCAAGAGCAATTTCACAGCCATGTGGCTCTCAGGCTGAAACCTTGCTGCTCCGATTAGCTCCACCCGACACTATGTATGGAAGCTCACTTTTGCTCTACATGGTCCTCTCGTGCCTGGACTGGAGGAGCAGTCCCTAGCGGACCTCATGGTCCCAAACAGAAGTACAAGAGGCCAAACCAAGCCATGGTAACACATTTAGAGCATCTGCAAGGACATGAGCATCCACTTCCTGTCCCAGGAGGAAGTCTACTGACCAAGGCTGGACAAGTATATCCTGCCTACAAGAATGTACTGGAAATCATTCGGCAAAGAGTATGGGGGTATCATATTTTCAGAAGAGAAAGTGTGAAACTGGAAAAAATAATTAAGCATAGAGTTTGGGCACAGTGGGGATGTGAAATATGAACATATAGCATTACAAAGAGATTACTTTGGAGATAGCAATAATTATTCACAGTATGAATGGTGATGTGCAAATAACTAAGTCAGTTTCATACCTCATGGACCTCTCTCATATATTTAAGTATTCTAAAAATGTATGCAGTCTCTACAGTGTAGATTTAATTATTCCCTTATTTGTCTTATAAATAGCATTATATTGAGATTGATTATGAGAGCTATTATAAAGTGGTTTATTGATAAATATTGCAAAATAAAAATTGATTGGAAATTACACATCTGTCTTGGTTCATATAATGCTCCTGATATGCAAAATTCAACAGAAGTAATGGGCCAATCATCATCTTTGTAAGGACCATACAATATATCAAATCCCTCATTAGAGGGAAATATTAAATCTGTAATCCAATTAGAAGTAAAATTATTAATGCTGAGACATATGCTATTTATTTCTTAATCACACTTTTGAAATTAAAATTAATTCTACATTGAACATTTGATTTAATCCTTTATCTGTCCCAAGATTGTAACTACACTTGCAGAACTTACATTCGAGAATCCTCTTATCTTCACTAAACACTGGTCTCCCAATTCGCATACCTTGACCTACATAAAGTCATGAAAAATACAGGAGGAAATGGGAAGAGGGAGTCCTGGAGTGACCAGAAATCACTCGCCTTCATTGCGAAGCTCAGATCTTTCCTGCTCCTGGATGCTATTTTCCCTCTTCACCCACAGGAAACACGCAAATGGTAAAAATCTAAGGCAGCACCTACAGTGTGGGATATTGCGCCGTTGAGAACTAAAATGAAGAGCAAGGCTGAAGGGAGCTGTGAAGAGAGCCAGGGCGGTGTGATGACTGTGCTCTGTCCTGCTGGTAAACTGATGAAATGTGAGCTATCTAGACTGTGCCTGTGGTGCTTGCAAGCCAATCATATGCCCAGGGGCAGCTACATGCATGGAGAAATGTAAAAATTCTGTCATTTCCAAGGAAAATCTCCATTTTGGAGTCAGCTATGCTTTGTGAGTATCTCAGGTGTCTCCTAGTCCACCATGATCCACTTAATTTAGGCAAATACCTTCATGACAAATGTGCTCAATCACATGAGTTCCATTTTCTTCTCTCTTGCTTTCTGCCTATTATACCTGACACTGTCAAAGTTTTTCATCAGCAAGATTTTATTCCTTTGTTTTTATTTCAATGTTGCCGTAGCTCACAGTCTGTAAGGCCTGAGGCGTGTGTACAAAATAATATCAAGGTGAGTCACAGCTGAATCCTCCAAACATTAGAAAAGTCAGTCTCTGAAATTTTGAGATTTAATTCACAGTTTGCACAAAAACCATATTACCTGCATCTTAAATGCTCAGCCTTTTAATGGCAATACATCTCAGGACTTTGACTTTTAACTTTTTATTTTTAGTCATTTTATTTCTTACAAGCAATATTGCTTCTCATAGGCTAGAGTGTCTTTTGAAAAGGATTTCTATAATGCTCAAAGGGCAGTGGCCAGCTGTTTTCTGTAGGCTTGCAAATAAAGGCAATAGTGAAAGCACAGCAGGAGGGCCTCCCCACTCCCTTATACTGAAGGTCACAGATACAGAGCTGAGAAATCCTCCCCCAAAACTCTGTAGTCCTGTTTTCTCTGAAAACCGAGGGCTATGTTAATTTCTATTAGTAAAAGTGCCCATGCTCAAGGGTGCAGGAATAGAGTAAGTGACCTCTCACGGTCGTCTTCAATATTGTATGATTCCAATTCTGCAAAGTGTAAAAACAAACTCTTTACACATTGAGTAAAATAACCATAGGACCTGGACCAGATCTCACCGGGCAGACATGTAGTCTTGGCAGCAGTGTAAGGTTTGAGTGAGCTACATTCTCCAAGGAAAATAATCGCAACAGAACACATTGAATTTTCTTAGCTTCGGTGCTCTTTGGAGCCTGGTCACATAGTCTCTCTGCAAATCCCCCCACCCCACCCCACTCTGTCTTATTCTGAATAAGGAATTAAACTGAGTTTTTCCCTGTGAGCTAGAGACAAGCAAGTGCATTCTCATTACAGAAGCAAATTCATTACTAATACACTAAGAAGTAAGATTGCTACAAATGCAGACTGACTGCAGTTTTGGTGGCCCTTATGACATCAACTCTAAATAAATCTTTTCTTTCATTTTAGGCAAGAGTTATGGGTTTCATAACCTCTTTTTATTTTAATCATGTATATAGCAGTTGGGCAGTTGAAGAGTTATGTTCATGTACTAAACCCGTTTAGAAAAAAACAAGCAATAATATCCAACATGTATGAAAATGCTGACATCAACCAGGACATAGATGCATGCTATCCATCCACTCCCTATTTCATTGAAAATGAAGGCTATAAAACAGCACTTTATCACAGTCCGGAAAGTGCTGTGGGAATCTGAGAGGTATATGATACTTGCTTGCATTTGCAGCTTTACATTTACATACATAGAAAACACATTTTCTTTAGGTTGTCCAATTCTGTTGTTACATATCTGACATTTCAAAACAAATCTTATTATGGGGTAAATAGGAAATTTCATGATCAACTCTTCTTCCATTGAAAATAATCAAGTAACAAAAACAGTTTGTTTTTCCTGTCATATATCATTAGCTTCCTGAAGTTTCGTGTCTGTGTTTGTGTATATTATGTTTTCCATGAGTATTTAAGTACTGTAGTTTTACACAAAGTTTATATTGATAGAGGTACTTAAATATAAGTTGACTTCATTCGCTTTTTAAAATGCACTCATTGAATCAAGACTTGTCATGTAGAGGTACAAGATCCCAACAATGAATGTAACTGTACTGTATCCCTAAAATGTACCAATAAACTCAATTAAAGATGAAAAAAAAAGCACTCATTCACCTGCTTTTTAAACTTGAATGTGAGTGAATAGAAAACTTTGAATAAATAAAAATAATGTATTTGTTAGACTCCCTACCATAATACATATCAGGCAAAGATACAATGTTATAAATGCAAAATGAAACATATATTTGGCTACTATGCCAAAAATCCTTTCCCCACCCCCAGTATTCCATTTTCATAGTCTTCATCTAGTTTCCTGAATGCTAATTATTTTTCAGAGGAGGAGAAAACAATTCAGATTGAAAGCCAGTTAAGATTAAAAGAATCTGTCTGAGAGAGGTTAAGATTCAAGGAATCGGCCTTTCTTTGTTGTTCTGTATCAGTGTTTTAGGGCATAATGGAAAGTAAAGTTTTAGCATTCTCTAATGCTTTTCAAGGCAATAGAAATTGTCACAGGGCAGCAGAGTAATCAAATACTTGTCCCTGCTCCACAATCCTAGAAAGTTCCTTGTGTCTAGGGCTCTGTGCCTTCCATTTAGATGGCAAGAGCAGGCTTCTAGACACACAGGGCTGACTTGGAGGGGATGCAAGATACAGATGGACTAATGCTTTTTTAATGCCTCATACTTGACTTACATTGTGCCAAACACTCTCAAGGATGTTAGCTCACTTTATGTCCTACAAAGCTCTACAGAATCAGAGCTTGCCTCATTTTACAGATAAAGAGATATCCTAGCCTGGTTAAGTACCTTGTAAGCTGTTGACCTGGGAAATGGGTCCAGAAATATCAGGATGAGCATGCTCTGGCCTTCACAATGTCTTCCTCCGAATTACCGGCAGGAAGTGCCAGGGAAAGGAGACTGTGGAGATAGTATAATTTGAAGAAAGGAGAGAAAGATAGGCTTGATGGATGAATGCGATGCAGGATCATCACTTTTTAAAAACTTTCTCAAGTTCTTTGTTCATATTTTAATAAATTACAGGTGTTCTTGGGATAAATATTTGTAACAGAATTAAGAAGATTAAACAAACAAAAAGTGCATTGTGAGTTGAAAGGAGAAAAGCCAAGGTCTCTTATTGATTCTTTACTCTCGGAATCTCATTAGCTATCAGACAGAATTTGATGATGGCCAACAAATAAACAACATTTTTGCCACTCTTTGTTGTTAAACTGCCCCAAACCACCAAATACAGATTAGTCTGGAATGCATTTATTGTTTCTGCTGGAGGTGGTTAAAACATCAGCTTTAGATTCAGGATTCTTTTTCTCTCTTCCCTTCAGGCTGCTAAAGGATGCACAAAATGAAGCTTATTTTAAAAGTTGGTATCAGAAGCTGTTGGCTGCTCTCCAGTTCTGTGTAGGAAAAGCCTTGAACGATGAAATTTCCAAGGAGAAGAAACTTATCAGAATTCTGAGAGACATTGGGGAAAAGGTCAAGTCTGCCAGTGACTCTCAAAGACAGGTTTGTTAAGAAATCAGTCTCAACATGGTGAAAATTCTTCCTTTAAACTTTAGTTCAATTAAGTTTTAATTTCATAGCTTACAAGGCAAACACATTGACTGCACTAAGACATAAGACACTTAAATCAATTATAATCAAGATTTTTCCTCATTTACTGTCCTAAAGTTAATGATAATGCCTCTCAGTAGGACATGGTTCTTTGATACAAGTAACCATGCAGCACATGAAGAAGACCTAATGAGAAAAAAAATTAAAAAACCAATTTAAAGGTAGTTTGATCAAAAATACCTAATGGTACAATCTTTTGCTGTTGTTATTGTTTAAAGACTTAATTGTTTTTCAACTACTTTTATTAGTATATGATTCTGATGCATAATACTTCATTGAGAGAATCTAGAATGAAAACATATTATATCTTGATTCTTTTACATAATCTTAAAATGACAAATGCATAAATCAGACTCATAAGGGAAAGCATATCCTTTAGGTCTTGATTTCCCTAACATTACCATAACCAAAGCCATATTTTCAAAACTTTTTTGCAAAGCAAATGAAGTTAATTAAATCATTAATAAATGCTGTATGGAAAGTAATAGTTTTATATTAAGATCCATGGGTGATAGCCAAAATACTGTGTCTTTATCTTACTAATAATATCATAATGGAACTGACTATTCTTTTTCTTGATCTAACAGAACATTTTCTCTCAAATTATCTGCATCAATAGCTTTCTTCATTAAGTAGATTCTCTTAAATTTGGCATTCTGCATGCAAGGAGATAGTGGACATCTATCAATTGTATTAAAAGCATTATTTAATAAAAATTGAGTACTTACTACCTACAAAAAGTTAGGGATAGGAAGGTGTCTTAAACATGAGTCTTGTCCTCAGGGGAAATCATAGTTTCTCTTTGCTGTCTTAAAACAAGAGTTTTCGACAAAGTGATATGAAAATGGCAATAGCAAAGTGTCCCAGGATTCTTTCCAAACTATAATTTTCCTTAACTAGAAGTCACTTCATTTAATAAAAATACCAGACATCATGCTACTTCACATAGGAGCAGAAAATAAAAGAACTTATAGGAGAAAACTGAAAATTAAAAAAAAAAAAAAAAAAAAA